CAAATTCATATTTCAATTTGGCCGCCTGCAGCAGATTACCAAAGACCTGGTGCTGCTAAATCATTTGATAATGTCGTTGCCAATAAAATTAGATGTGGTGCTCAATGTCTTGAAGGGAAATGTTTTGGTGTTGTTTGCTCCTCATTTGTTGACAAGGCAATGCTTGAATTTTTGGTCGATGATGACCCATCAAATAAAGAGTTCTATGAAAATATGTCACAAGGTGCTACTTTCTTTTTGGATCCTGCTGCTATGGAAATTGGTGATTTTTTGAAAGATGAGGAAGGTATCGCCTATGCTGTGTTTGACCTCAATAAAACTATTGTACCAAAGCAATTTCACGATCTAGTTGGTGGGTATAATAGATTCGACGTGTTTAAATTACGTGTAAACAGAGCTCCAAATGTTCCTATTGAGTTTGAGGATTCGTTTACAGATGAATAATTATAAAGGCTGCTTTTCTTTGTAGTTATGCCATATTATCTCGGGCAAATAAATTTTCATCAAATCTGAACTGATAACAATCAACACAGTTGTTCAAAGTTTCTAAAAGCAATACTCCCCAATGAAGATTATAGACCAGACATCCAAAGTGATCAAGAGACAACGCAAAGATGAGTCGAAACCTAGATCTAAAAATTCTTTTCCCGGACTTTTGAAACTATCAAAACAACAACTGAATAGTCCAAAAAAAGATCATATAATAAATCAGACCCAGTTTTCCAGCTCTACAACTTTTAAGGAAAATACTTCGAAATCAAGTCAAGAGGGAAATATCAACACACACCTGGATTTAGATTCAATATTTGAGATCTCCAAGAACGCTTTATCAGACACATCACTTCTTCTTCAAAAAGAGTTGTCACAGTTTATGCAACCTCAACAACATCTAAACATAGCTGACCTGCACTCATTTGATTTTAATGACCACCTGAATATTGAGAATATCAGTAATGACTGGTTAGAATTCGTATCTCCAACATCCACAGCTGATTCTCACAACTCCGAAACCATCAGAAACGAGGACCCAAAGCTTCAAATTTTGGAATCCAAGGATGTTCAAAATGAATTTAGATTAGCATGTCACTATTGTCGAGTCATGACTAGGTTCTATAGCGTCAAAGACCCAGAATGGAACTTTTACTCAATGGTTAATCAAGAATTTGCGTACAGATATGAGCCTCTCAAATTCAGTATTCTTGCATGGTCATCTCTACATTTGTCAATTCAGGAAAAATCTTCAACAAAAACAGCGCACAAATATTATCAGCAAGCATTAAAGTCAATAATGAACCAAAATTTCCTGAAAAGTGAGATTCCATTAGAAATTTTACTGGTTGGTTCTTTCTTTCTTTGTTTATTTGATATAATGGCCGGAAATCTTCATACAACAAACATTTTAAGGCATGTCTACGGTTCTTTGAAAATTGGATCGCTGTTTGAAATGACCGTACAACAAACATCTCTAAAAGAATCAACTGGTTCTCTCAGCCCATTCTCATATCAAATTGTTACATGGTTGATCTATCTAGATATCAGGTCTTCCCTATTTGTTGGTAATATTCAGTTTCCCAACTACATCACGTTTGAAGCAAAGAAGAAACAAAATAAGCCGAAAAATGGTGATATACAATATTTGTTGAGCTCTGATGTTTATGAGGAAAAAGTTGTTTCCAACATTTTTGATAATTCAAGGAGTGTGCTAAGAAGTTCATTTGGTGGGAGCTATCCAAATGAGGTTGAACAGTCTGATATTTTGCAAGATCGTATATTGGTCTTAATGATGAAAAACATGCTAATGTTTGGAACTTTGATTAGGCTCAAAAACTGGCTAGATCAGTGTGGAAACTCAGTTGAATTCAATCCTCAAACCCTGAAAGCTAAAATAAATGACTTATATGAAGAAAATATCAAACTTTTAGAGATTAATGCAACGGATAGAGTCTCACAGTTCCACATTTCTATTGAGATGGCATTGATTCATGCAATACGTATATACTTTGATAGAATATGCACACCAGATATAAGGACCAATTTGGCTTGTCAAGAAACAGCTGAACAAATCTTCAAGATTGCAGTCTCTTTGAAAGCTTTGAGACCACAGGGAACTCCAGGATCAATTCAGTGGCCATTTCCTTTGGTTATAGCTGGTATTGAAACAACAAACCCAATATACCAAAGTTGGATACTCAGGGAATTAGAAGATTGTGAAAAGGAAGGATGGGGGCTTTACGTTACAAAAAGCAAGAATTTATGTATAGAAGTCATGAAAAGACAAAATGCTACAAATCAAAGAGTGGATGTTGGTGAAGCTATGAAAGAGTTATTTGATGGTTATTTTATTGTCTAGATAAAGGATATTCTTTGATAAATATTGCAAAGCATGCTGATATTATTTGAACCAGGATTATCAAGTAGAACGTTTTATGAATGACATTATCATAGCAATTTTGTGCCAAAGTAGCCAAATGTGGTGGTAATTTATTGATCATTGAAATGGAATTCAAAATAGATGATATAAGCTCAGTTTTGTTCTCAATGCCACTAAATGCCTTATTTAGCTCATTTCTTAAAAAAAAATTATTCACAGAAGCAGTTAGTGAGATACCGAATGCACCACCAAAAACTCTGAAAAGGTAACTGACTGAAGTAGCCTTTGCTTGTTCTTCTCTTCCGACAGATGAAATAACGGCCATTAAAGATGCACTCAATATAAAACCATGACCAATACCTCCTGGAAACATATATAACTGGTATTTCCACGAAGGTGACGATTTCTGTAAAGTACTGATAGTGATTGATCCAAAAATTTCAAATAATACACCACTGATGATGGTATGATAATACCTTTGTGTGTATCTGATGAGTGCACCTGCAGTTAAAGAGCCAAAACACATTCCTATGACATATGTAATAAGGCGAGATCCAGCAAGACTAGCAGATTCACCAACAACAACCTGAAGAAATAATGGTACATTAAACATTATCGCAAAAGATCCCATATACCCAAAAAAATTTGTAAGACCAGAAAGTAAAGGATTTCTAGACAATATCACATTCAATAAAACAATAGGGTTTTTAACCTTAGATTCTGCATAGAAGAATAGATTGAAAGAGATCATACTTAGTATTATTGTTCCTGTAATAGCTGGCGAGGACAACGTATAATCAGAACCAACTAATTGCAAAACATATAACAATGAAACTATGGCAACAATTAGTAGCCCAGAACCTATGAAATCAACATTTCTAAGCGAGGGTTTCGCTGAGATATAACTGACAGGAATAGTAACTTTCCATTTGATAACAATTAAAGATATTAGTGTTATTGGACATTGAATCAAGAACGCAAATCTCCAACCAACAGAATCAGCTAGATAACCACCAATAGGAGCACCAATGACTTGACCAAACCCATACACCAAATTTGCAAACCCATTGTAAGTGCTTCTCTCACTAAGAGGAACCAAATCACTAACAACAATTGAGCTTAATGTACCCAAGCCAGCACCACCTAAACCTGCTACAACTCTTGCAATGATAAGCTGTGGCATACTTGTTGATATTGAGCAGCCCAAAGATCCTATTAAGAACAATGTATTTGCACATATAAAGCATTTTTTCTACCAAAAATATCACTAAGACCACCATACAATGGTTGTAATGCTGTGGATGACAGCATATATGAAGTTGCGATCCATGAAGCTTTTGAAGAATCACCAAGGTCTGATCCCATAATAGCATAAGTTGATGCAACAACAGTAGAGTCCAGGGCAGCAAGAAATGCTCCACACCATAACGAGGGAATAATACTCCAACGGTTTGGGTGCGGTGTCTCGAGTTCTTCCAAAGATTCTGAATCAGTCACCAAAGTTGTTGTTGTTTCTTCTTGTATTGTCCATTTTTTGCTTAAAAGCGATGTTGTTTCGTCAAAATCTTGTGAAATGCTCATTTTGACCACCTAATGAGCCCTCTGAAGCATCTTAACCATCCCCAAAAAGCACATCATCTAACCTATATAAAAGATCAAGATATCTGGTAAATTAACTTCAAATGAGATTGAAGAGTTCAGAAGGAGAAACTTCCAAACTAGGAAGCTTCCTCAATTGGATTTCAAAAAAAACAAAAAAAAAAAAACAATGTTCAAGTCAAAAACACTACAATATATAGAGATCGGTATGACCATGAAGACCAAAGACGTTATTCATAATGTGGTGGCTACACAATGTCACTTCTAGTGGGAGAACCACCTAGAGGAGCACCTAGGTACAAAAAAGCTATTTTGTTTTGCTGTTCCCTTGCCATATTTCTGATATTACTCAACAATTCTTCAAAAGATATACCAAGTGTTTGCAAAGACAATCAAACTAGACCGCACTTTGCTATTGACGAAGAAAGAATTAATGAGAGGTTCCCGCTTTTCAATAGCTCGGATATTTTACTGATCAATGCAACAATTATCGATGGAGATGGCTCAACCCATAATCAGAAAAACCTTTTGATTCAAAAGGGAACAATCGTTAATATCACTGACAAATCACTACATTGCAGTGGAGATATAATTGATCTAAAAGGTAGATTTATCACACCTGGGCTCATTGATATGCATTCACATTTTGGGACAAGACTACAACCTCAATTGAAAGGAACTGAAGATACAAATGAGTATACATCACCAATCACCCCGTATGTACAGAGCAATAGATGG